TATATATAAAGACTCAGTTAAAGGCATCAGTGAAATGTCAGATAATGTGAGAGACTTAAGTGATCAGAATAACAATAGCTCAGTGAGTGAGAAGACTTGTATGAGGCTTGAAATTACAAGACTTCAGCATGAGATTGAGTATATGAAGACAAGTAGAGATGAGACTCTTGCAAGTGATGAGATAAGAGTGAATCTGATAGAATACCTTCAATAGAAAGAGAAGACATCTGTTATAATAAAAGTTCTTGAAGAATTCAGAAGTTAAGTAAGACTTATCAAAAAATCAATAGTTCTCACTAAATTCATTAACTAGGTAATGTGAAGAGATGAAATTCTTTTAGCTGCAGAGCAGTCTGAAACTGATGATATTCTTGAAGATAATGATCTTGATGAGAATACTACTATGAATATACAACATTTCTGAAAAGAACACAATCTTTGATTATATAATTATATATAATCTGCAATTACTCTGCAGATCAAGACTCATTTCACTATACTCAAGAAGTTCAAATTATCAGCTTATACTCTATGAACTATTATAGAGAATAACTTTTTCAAGAGACCTGCTATACATAGAACTTATTTATTTAAAGAGCTTATTAAAATAATCTTCAAAAGCAAAGAATCTGACAGAGCTTTCATTGAATATCTGATTGTCATAAGAACTGATTATATCTGTCTAGAATATGAGATTCTGAATATTGTGTTTTTCAACAGACTGCTTACAGAAGTCAACAGAGGTTGAGCCTCATTCATAAGAAATTGAATGAATCAAATTGACAAAGATAATACTCAACTCTTAGAGAACAATTTTATAAGCCTGTGCTGTGATATTCTTTTGCAGCTCTCTGCTGTGAATAAAGCAAATACTGATGTGTCTAGAAATTCTATCAACAACATGCAAGATAAGAATAAGAAAGACAAGGACAAAGAGAAAGATAATGACAAGAACAAGAACACTGAATTCAAATCTGAATGTAGAGATAATGATATGAGAACCTGCTATCATTGTTAAAAGATTGATTATATTCAGACTGACTATTGAAAGAAATACTCTGAGAAACATTCTTCAAACTTCAATACAAATAGAAACAAGAATAAAGACAAGAATGCAGAGAATACAGATACTGCTTCTATTTATAATATCATGAAGCAAGTATTTTGTATCAAAGAAAAGGCCTATGTAAGTGATCAGACAGAAAAAGATATCTGAATTCTAGACTCTGAATCAGATGCTCATGTCACATCTCACAGAGATCTTGTCATGACAAAATCTCAGAAGATGAAAGTGATGTTGAAAATAGCAGACAGAACAGTGATTTCTGCTGCAGCTATAGAAGATACAAAGATTTCAGTGAAAGAAACAGATATACTGTTAAATGATGTCTGCTATATCTCAAAGTTAGAAGTGAATCTCATGAGTATGAGTAAGCTTGTATATCAGAGTTATACCTATAAGCAGTTAATATATGAAAATAATCATGCTATGTTGATTATGTCTTCTGACTGCATATTCTCATTTACAGCAAGATTAAATGAGAATGATATCTATGAGATGGAAAGACTGATTACATACAGAGACTTGATTCAGTTTGCTATGCTCAATGATGATTTTAAACCTGTGAATACATTATGAGTGAAAGATGACACAATATTGGCACTATCTGAAAGAAATGATACAAAGATTATAGAACTTATGATGATGCAATGATATTAAAAGCTAGAACATCTGAATTCTGCAGATATCACAAAAATAGCAGCAGATTCACAACTAGAAATGAGAATAAAGAATGACAGAGCTTTGCCATTCTGCAAGACCTGTGTACAAGTAAAAATGACACATTCAACCTTTGCATCTATGACACAAGCTGTTAAGTCAGTAATGAGATTTTTCATCAATCTGGCAGGGGGTGGAAAAACACTTTTCAATGAGAATGACACTTTCACTAGAGAAGATGCAAGCTACTGATTAAGTATAACAGACAATGCAACTCATTATAGATGAATAATTCTTATAATGAAAAAGAAAGAATCTACTGCAAGATTAATGAACTTCATCACAGATATTGAGATAACTACACAATATTGAGTTAGAATTCTACACTGAGATGATGAAGAAGAGTTCAAAAGTCAAGAACTTAAGATCTACTGCTAGAGCAAAGAAATAATGTATGAAATGACTACACCTGACACATCACAATCAAATGACTCAGTGAAATGTGCGAATTGAATAGTTGCAGAAAAGACACAAAGCCTACTATTTAATAGTGAATTAAAAAGAGAACTTTGAGATGAAGCAATGCAAGCTATGATCATAATAATCAATACATTCTCAACATTAACAAAGATATTTGAATGTAAGAAAGAAACATCACTTATATCTTTTGAAGTGTGAACTGAGATGCAATCTTCTGTTCATTGAATACAGAGATGAGGGTGCAAGGTCTACAAGAAGGATTTGAAAGTGTCAAATAAGCTCACAGATAGAACTGATGACAAGAAATGACAGCTGATTGAATATCAAGAATTACATCAATATCATGTGTGGGATTCTATTGCACATTGTCTTGAGATTGCATGAGATATCATATTTAATGAAGCTCTTGACATGAGTGCAAATACACCTGTAAATACAGTGAGAGAATTCAATGAATTGCCTAATGAATTGGACATTCTGAATGTCAGAGAGAGATGACAGCACTGCTTACTATAATATCTTATAAAGAAAAAGTCAGATATTTTGAAGATGATTGTAAATGAGAACTTAGAGAGTGCAATTGATTCAATCTATCTTCTAGATAATGAGACACAGCTTGTCATGAATGAAGAGTCTGAAGACTCTGTTAATGAGAATGATTCTATTCTAAGTGTTCTGACAGACTGATCAACTACACTGACAGAAGTCAAGAGAAGCTCAGACTGAAACTATTGATATAAGATAATGAAAAAGAAGATTAAGATATTTGAATAGAAGAAGATATATATTATTATTGAGAAGGTCTCAGAAATGAATATTCTTACAGATAAATGAGTATATGATTGAAAATTCAATAATAAGAGAGAAATCATCTATTTTAGAGCTCACTGAGTGATTAGAGAGTTCTTGCAACAACAGGGTATTCATTATACAAGATTGTATACTGCAGTGATATCAGGGCCTACATCACACAGTCTATTCACTATATCAACTGTCAAAGAATGAAAGATCAAATCAATTGACTATATATTCATGTTTTTGAATGACATACTACCACAGAATGAGATAATCTATATACAACTGCTCACAGATGTTAAGCATGACAGAGAGAGCTTGATAAGACTACTCTGTCAGAGTCTATATGAAATGAAGCAAGTCATGAGAGTATGATATTTCCTAGCAACAGAACATCTCATCACATTGAGATTTAAGATATCATTTTATAACAGTGAATTTCTATATTACTCTGTTCACAAGATCTATCTGACACTGCATGTTGATGATTATTGAGTGATGAGATCTCAAGAACAGCAATTAGACTGAGTATTGAGAAAGATTGCAAAGAGATTTGAGACAAAGAATGTTGAAGAGACCAAGTCATATCTTAAGATGAAGATTAAATGCCAGAGAAATAACAATCTAGTGATTACACAAAGCTGTTATATTGAGAAGATTCTTGAAGATTTCAGTATGAATAAGATAAATCTGACTGGCATCTCAATAACAGTCAGCATACAACTGGAATTCTCATCTGATGAGAGAAAGGAATTGAATGATGACTTTACAGCTACAAGATATTATCAAGAATTGAAATCATTGCAATATTTAATCTCAAGCAGTCAGTCAGATCTGGTGTTCACAGTCAACTATCTCTCACATTTTAACTCATATTCACATAAAGCATGTTGAGCAGTGTTGAAGCATGTCCTACATTATGTCAAGAAGATGAAAAACCATGATATATTGTACAAGAAGGAGATAGAAAATGACCTGAGTTCTGTGACATACTGCAATTCAGACTGAACAGGGGTGGATTCTCAATACAAATTGACTATCAGCTACATTATATTGATTAACAGATCACTGATCTCATGACAGTTGCAGAGACAGACATCTATTATCAAATCAATCACAGAAGCTGAGTATATTGCAGCTAGCAAGACAGCTTGTGAGATAATCTGGTTGAATGATATGTTATATGACACTGAATTGATAAATGATGAAAAAGTGAAAATATGCTCACATCTATAAGTTGACAATAAGAGAGCAATTAATCTAGCAAAGAAAGAATTCTTAACATGAAGATTGCATCATATTGAGATTAGATATCATATTCTCTGTGATTTGATTGAAAAAGGAGAAATCATGATGAAACATGTTGATTCTACAGTGAACATAGCTGATGACCTCACCAAGTCACTGATGAAGCCTGCATTTGAAGATTTTATCAAAAGGGTTGACATTCAGAGAATTGAGAAGAAGGAATGATTGAATGATAATGATGATACAGCGGATCAATGGATTTTGCATGTATTTCTTGATTTTTACAGTTATTGCTGTACGGACGCCTTTCCTAATGAGGAAATCAGGGTCCGATTGATGTAATTAATTATTATTGCATTTTTGAAAGATTTGAGGATGAGGGAGGCCCCGGGTGGTGGCTTATAGACCACGGTGTAGCAAGGGGGGGTGTTGGTGATTACTACACCTACCCTAGTCACGTGCCACCCCAACCTATTTAGTGTAACTCGCGTAGTTAGATTACAACACAACAACGTTATCCTCCAAGAGTAGGTGTAGTAATCACCAACATATTGTGCGAGGTCGGGGTCATGATTATGTAACGAGGTCAAGTGGCGCACTTAGCGAGGTCAAGTTTTCTGTATACACCCTGCTGTAACAAACCACATCCAAACAGGCTGGGTACCCGAGCCCAGCTCTTGGAAGTTCATACCCCAAACTGTGCAAACGAACGATAAAGGAATAAAGATGGTAGCTAGGACCGTAAGTTTCTGAACTCTTACAGCATTCTCTGTGGACCGCTTCGACTCTTCCAGTATGGAACTATTGACCAGTGTATCAATGCCAGAGTCACACTCCTAGCCAACGCCTCCGCACGCTGGAGTAGGTACCCAAAGTCGCTGAGCAGTAGGCGGGCTCTTTGTTGTGCTTTGGGAGATTCTTGATCGCGCTGCCAGCCTAGCAAATCGCAAGTTTCCAGAGTTCTGACGGTTTCGGCGAGGCGTTGAGCGTGCGATATGAGCTGCGTCTTTATGAATCTCAGATTTAGCAACGAGACAGCGTCGTTGCGACGACCCATCTTCTGCTGCTCACCCGTGAAGGAGAGCTCGTGCTTAATACGGCCGTGAAGAAGGTTTAGAAACTGGAGTTCTGAAGATGCAGCGAACTGGAAGACCTCGCTGACGGCGTACAATGCATCTTGTTCAGCAACTTCCCGATCGATCATTGATCCGTATTGAAATGGAAGTAGGCAGATGTTTTGTGTGGCTCTCCACTCCGTCTCTTGTCTGCTTGGGGGGGGGGTTGTTTTCACTTGAAAGTTGGGACGGACCTGGATCCCATTACCGGCTCAGATCTATCTATTGTTGAATGAGATCGAGCGTCGACTGCTTGATGTACTATTACTGGAACGAAGCGTGTCTCCCAGGGCCGGGTACCGGAGAGTGGACTCCATGGCCCCTGGACGCTGTGGGAGAGATCCTTCCCGCTATCAAGCCACACGATAGCGTGGCAAGTTTCCTCTCGGTGCCGTACCTCAATTGTTATCGTTTGTTCTAAAACGTATTCTCGTTTGCTCAGCAGCAAACATTTCCGCACTACGGAGTCCGCCAATTGCACCCTATCACAGAACTGTTTGAAATATTGATCCAACGCTCGCGCCTGAAGCTTACGTGCTTCTTGTAGATCCTCAGGCTCATAGGCAGTGTCTGCAACATTTCGACAGTAAACAGTTGAAATGGTCAAGTCGAAAATTCGAACTGAGGACGATGGGAGGGCGGGTGACGAGTAAAATTCCTGGGTTCCCGATGAAAATGGCTCGAAACTAAGATGTCGTCGATATAGCTCAGGGTTAATTTTGTATATCTCTCCAATAGTTGCCAACCACTGGGTTGAGCCATAGCCTCGCATGAATAACAGGTGTGGCTTCTTTTTCGGTACCAACGCAAAGTTGTCTATATCATGTGGTTTTGACCCGAAGGCTGCGTTCGTGCCTTCTTTTATGTCATGCATCACTACGAAGTTGCTAGTAACACCTTCGTCGGTTGCTGTCGAGGAGATATTTGGATCATTTGGAGCAAATCTTGAATTGGGTGAAGACTTTAGATATTTGTCGAGGATGTAAAGATCCGGCCTAGGGTAAACATTGCGCTGACTCGACTGCTGGGAAAGGGCTTCGACCTCCCGCCGGAATTATCTTCCTGCTGCTCATAATCAGTATCAAGAGCAAAATATACCACTTGAAAGATATAAAAGATTTTATTTACCCCGGCAGTCGGACATATGGTGTGCTATGCAAGGGATATCTGCTACCTTCTACCTCCTGTTAAATGGAATGGAACAAGGCTGTGAGTTCTGCTATGTGTTATTGTTGCAGAAGGCAGCCTAAATGACCTAAATAGTATTCACAGTGAAGCAACAAAGGTCTGGTAGTGAGGAGTTAACTTACAGCTGCTGATATACTTCTAATTGATAATTCATCAGTGACCTATTGCATTTTATTATTACGAACCATTCAAAATATATTACATCTACGGAGTCCGATACGGAGGCCAGTTCAGCTGTTATTGTATGTGATATATGTACAGTTACATATAATGTACTCCGTACCGCGCATTCGATTTAAAGCTTAAATAGTTAAATAATTTAGTATAATAACTAGTTAACTCGTAATTTAAACGTGGCACAAGTCAGTAACTACAGAGTATGTCCAAGTCATCGCCAAATTCCCGCAGTCTTACTCAATTATATCCTCTTCTCCCTGTCATCGGTCCTCAGGTCTAGCTTCTTTCAGTGATGTCTTGTCCAATTACAGTCGCCGCATCCACTACCGAGCCAAGAACGCTGATTCTGATGCAAAAAAAATCTGATAACTCAACTGGTTGGGCTCCTCTACCGGCGTCACGACTTCTCTGGGCCTTCTTGAAGGACTTAAAGGCCTAGTTTTGGCAGCGGTTTTTGAAGCCAGCTTGAGTTTTTATGAGAAAATGATTGAAATTGCTGCCATGGATCGAAGCTTCACCGTACGCGCCCTCCTTTCTGGCCTGTTGATTGGTGTCCTGGTCAACCTCTCCAACACTTACTATGGACTCCGAATTGGCGTGGCCAGTCAAATGTCCATGGTCTCGGGCCTTCTGGGATTTGTCGTCTTCAAACTGTTCTCAAGATGCATAGAAAGCCCTTTGACGCCTGCTGAGAATGTTTTAATTATCAGCGTAGCCACAGCTACTGGATGTATGCCAGTAACTGCTGGGTTCGTTGGTATAATTCCAGCTCTTGAATATCTCATCGGCCCGGAGGAGAATGGCCCACTACGAATAGCTTGGGAAAGCCTTGTTTTTTGGTCAATTGGCCTTTGTTTCTTCGGCCTGATCTTCGCATCGATTTTTCGGGAGCATTTCGTTGTGCGAGAGACGTTGCCCTGGCCCGGAGCCAAAGCAACTGCGCATCTTATCAACACGATACATCACGTGCCTCCCGAATTTTCAACTGCTCCAGGTGGCATATTGTCCCCAAGCTTAACAGAGGAAAATCCAAGAGCAGGGCAGTCTGGAACTCCTGTGGAAGAGCGGCTACTTCTACTTGCGCACGGGAGCGGTGGGAGATGGAAGGTTGGGATGAATCGCCTTTTCCAGGGTGCTACTGGATCTGGAATATTTGTATGACTATTTTCTGTATTATTCAATTTCGCAGCGTGGCCTCCTGCTGATATACTTCTTCAGACCATTGTTATCTACTTCGTACCCATATTAAAGAAATTACCCATTCTCGGATCGCATGCGGCGAGTGAATGGCTTTGGAGTATGGACCTTTCTCCAGGTTTCTTAGGACAGGGAATTATCACAGGGCCCATAATTCCGTTGCACATGTTTATCGGCGCCATTATTGGCTGGGGAATTTTGTCGCCATATGCCAAACACCAAGGTTGGGCCCCCGGTGACGTGGATGACTGGGAAACCGGGTCAAGAGGGTGGATTATATGGGTCAGCTTGGCCGCGTTATTCGCAGACGCTTCCGTCAAACTTTCCTGGTTTATTGTCCGGCCTTTTTGGAAGTATTTTTTCTCCGTCGGACGCCTCCAAAGGCAGCTGGATGCTCTGCGAAGCAAGAACGACTCTGTGACATACCCACGGCCTCCTCGAGGTCGATATCAGACTGTGCCAACTCATGACGACTTTGAGACACCTCAATTCTGTGATTCTCAAGTGGTGGACCGGTCATCGAATCGGTGGTCGCCGTTAAAAGGGGAAAGGGTTCATTTGTCTGACAGCCCTATCACATCTCGAGCGTTGGGGTTGGGGTTCTTAGTTTCCGTCGTCATTTGCATCCTGGCGATAAATTTCACTTTCGGGAACTTTATAACATGGTACCACACTATCCTGGCAATAGCTCTATCACTCCCAATGGCAGTGATAGGTATACGATCTTTAGCGGAGACGGATTATAATCCCGAAAGCGCCTTGGGTATGCAACCCCTCTTCATTAAGTATCTACGATCGCTCACATCATTCCTTAGTATCGCAGTTAGTCTTTGCGACATTAATACCCCATTCCAACGCGAATGGCATAATTATCAGCCTCTTATCCGCCGCCCTCGCACAAGCAGGTGCAAACCAAGCAGGGGATATTTCCTTCGACTTCAAAATCGGAAGTCTCGTTGGAGCACATCCACGAGCGCAAACTTATGGGCAAATCATCGGCTCTCTATTCGGCGCTCTCATATCGTGCGGCATATACAAACTCTATGCGTCACAATATCCCATACCGGGACCTCTATTCAGGGTCCCATCATCATACCTTGTCCTTAGTACGGCAAGGCTAGTGATGGGTCAGGGTCTGCCGGAAGGAGTTGCGCCGTTTGCTTTGGGAGCTGCTATTCTCTCCATGCTGATTACGATAGTCAAGATGCGATATGAAACCCGATGGTGGCAAAAGCTAATTCCCAGTGGGGTATCATTGGCCATTGGTCTGCTGCCTTTTTCTTTTTTCCTATACTTTTTCTTTCGGTCGTATTTCATAGTCACACTTTTTTATGCCCCCATCCCGTAAGTGCAGCGAACAACACTAATTGTTTACTAGGAATTTACAATGTACCGTCTTTTACCATCACACGTGTCATTGGGGGTCTTACATTCTGGCTTCGTAAAGTTAGGAGCGGGGAAAGTGAAGGCGATATGATATTCCTTGCTAGTGGATTGGTGTTGGGGGAGTCTATCTCAAGCCTTGTTACCCTCGCCCTTACTGCAGCCCATGTTAAGAGCATGTAGGAAAGGTGTGGGTGCTAAGACCCGCGCAATAGAGGCACGCAGGCATGCTTCTTGCCACGCAGGCTGGTCACCACACTCATACGGTGTGCATGCTGATATGGTGCCATCTCGCCAATGCAATGTACGTACCTAAAAGTTCTACTCCGAGGAAGATGTTTTACTCTGACATGTTCGCTGCTGGTAGGTTCTTGGCTGAAGGATACTCCCAGGCTAGATTATGCACCATCTCATACCTTGCACTTCGCCTTCATTCTTACATACCTGGGGGTGCTGAAAAATGGAGCCCCAACCTCGGCCAGAATAGGAAGGTGGGGTCCTGATCTCGGGCCGACCCTTGTTGGTGAGGCTGTTAGTCATTCCGATCCTATCCTGACCATGTTCACAGTAACTTAGTTAATATTGGTGATAAAGGCCCTCTTTTATCAAAAGCAAGAGAAAAGGAGAAAACAAAAGAGAAAAATGCTACCCAGGACCCTGCTTTCTTAATTAGTTTAATCATCATTAAAGCAAAGTTGCCCACCAAAATATATTATTATTTATATCCAACCCACTTAGCTCTAAAGTGTGGACCGCTTCCCAATATAATGGCCGCAGAAGTTGTGGAAAAGTTCTTCGACGCTCACCCCGATATCAAATTCATTTGCCTCCAATGGGTCGATTACTCTGGAGTATTACGTACCTGAATAACCACCAAACCTCGATGCTTTCGCATCGCGAGTGGGACGGACTGCTGTCAACTCGCTCAAAATTGCATGGTCCTACCTATATCGACTGAACCACGGTGCTTCCCTGATGGAATTGAAGACTGGAACTTGCGCCCGGACTGGGGAACGCTTATGGTCTGCGGGTTCGCTCCAGCGCATGCGTCCGTCATGTGTTATACCTCCCACCTTGGCCTGACAAACCCTCTTGCAAGGTGCCCAAGAAATTTTCTGTATGAAGTGTTGGCTGCGTTCGAAGCCCAGTACCAATCGACACTGCTGATGGGTTCCGAAATTGAGTTCGTCCTTCTTGATGAATCCTCCAACCTCGCACAATCCTTCGATCGGCTGGTTGGCAGTTCCATGACAGCTGGCCTCCGAACTGAAAATTTGGTTATTATGGAGGACATTGTTGCCTCATTGGAACTGTCAGGGATTGAAATATATCACTTCCACACAGAAACTATAAATCAGTTCGAGGTTGCACTATCGCCACTTGCACCGATTCAAGCTATTGATGCTCTCATGATGACTCAGGAGACAATTCGCACTATATGTATCCGTCATGGCCTACAGGCTATGATGACCCTAAGACCGGTTTTTAACGGCCCACGAAATGGCTGCCACGTCCATCTTTCTATCAATCCTGCGCCAAATGCCCCCTGTTTCTTAGCCGGTGTACTGAATAAATTGAAAGCTCTTTGCGCATTTGGTCTGGCAAACTATGATAGTTACCACCGAGTAGCTGGGGACTGTGCAGGAGAATGGATAGCTTGGGGGACACATAACAAAGACTTTCCTATCCGCCAATTTGGTCCAAACCGTTGGGAACTTAGATTCTTGGATATCACTGCCAACATGTATCTTTTCACGGCTGTTATGCTCTCAGCTGGGATGGATGGTATGAAGCAAAACATCATATTGTCGGTGCGTGACTGCCAGGTTGTCCCGTCAGCACTCACTTTTGAAGAAGCTGAGCGGCAGCTCCGAGCCTTTGGAATCACAGAACGTATGCCGAAAGAATTGGAGGTATCCTTGGACTATGCCAAGGATGACAAAGAGATACAAAATTGGGTTGGAGCGGAGTTGTTCTCTCAATACGTCAAGGTTAAGGAGAAGGAAGTGGAATATTTCTCGAAGATGACCGATGAGGAGCGCAGACAGAAGTTCTTGGGTTACTTTTAGATAGGCAGACAGTACGGAGTTCCCCCATGTTTGATAATGAGGAAAGATAGATAGTATGGCGTGGAAAAAATAAAGATAACGAACAAGAATAAATAAAGAAGGACAGAAATGCACGTCAGACCGACCAAAAGCAAACAAGATTATCGAAGTCTACAGTTCGCAGCTCTCTTGGCCTTTCATCTGGGAGTATCTGTTTCCGAAGTAGTTTTGCCCGCTCTACCCACCACTTTCCTTTCTTTTTGTTCTCTTCGCCACCCATTGACAGGAGATGAACACCTCTGAGGAACGATGAGCGGGCTGACTCATTTCTAAACCATTGCCGATCGCCCCAGATACTCATAGCCCGATCAAGGTAATCCCTGGCAATATTATTTGTTGTTAGGAATCATCCGAACATCTTAATTACGATAACGGAAGATGTACTTACTGTGCTAAGTCGTGTTGCTTGTATCGAATATGATGTTCAGCTAGCTTGTGGCAAGCGTCCGCTGTCCGATGGTTGGATTTTCCCAAAGTTGACTCATACTGTTTGAGGCATTCTGAGTGTATGTTGAATGCCTCATCCCAGAGTCTCTTGGCGCTTTCATGATTTCCATCCGCTGCGAGTCGCGCGGCTTTGCTGTTCTTTACATTTCCAAGGGCCTGAAGAACCCTGCCCGTTCTGAACGTGATCTATCAGCATCCGACGTTATAAACACCAAAGGTCACGGGCGTAAATGATTTTTAAATCACTATCATGCAAATTTATAGGTCTCAAACCTACTTGTAAGAAACTCTGTCTAACTTTCCATGCCTCTTCTCGCGCTGCATCAATAGGTCTGTCAGGGTCTCGTCCGCAGCATCGAGTTCTCTTTGAACCCAGTATGCTAATCCGAGGTTGCAAACGGGGAAACCAAATTCGTCCACGTCCACATCAAGCCCCTTAATCATCTCGATGCATTGTTTGAAATATTCCGTGGCGAGAGCAAACTTTCCGATCATCATGTATGCGATACCAAGCTGGCTATGAGCAAAGGCAAACCTTAGATCTGGCTTATTGTTCTTCCCTGCTTCAGCCTTACGTCGTGTAAGACAAATAATATTGTGTTCTAGGCATGACTGGGCGTCATTCGTCTCATTTGACAGGGCACCCATAGTAAGATGCATATCGCTGACTAGAGGTTCTTGGAGGATATTATCTCGGCCGCACAAGTCAAGCGCCAATGTCAAGTATGCTTTCCCTTCGTGGGAGAAGCCTCGCTCGTGGAGGTAGCTAAGACGGGCCATTAGCGTTTATTTCTTGTTCGCTATGTTAATTTTATACTGTAAGTTGTATGCTATATGGGGCATGGCATGAGTTCTTACACTGCGGCCTCATTTAAAAGGATGGGAAACGCCGGATCTACCGGAAATCTTGCCCAGGCTTGAGAGTACTCAATGTAGATTTGGTAAAGCTGTTCTAGGTGCGGGAATAAATCTTCGCACAATGCCCAACGCTCCCTTGCCTGCCTGCAAAGATCACCCGGAGGCCAGATCTCTGAAAGGAGATACAGATCCTCTTTAAAGGTTTGGTAGCACTGTTGGGCGTCCATGCCTGTTCGGACCTCTGCTTGGATTACCCGATGAATCCATAATTCCTTCCTGCTAACATTCCGTTTGATGATGGAGGATGATAGGAGCTCATAATGGGCGCTCTCAAAAGTCGATGCTACCCACAAACCGCTACCTTGGTCCCTGGACCTTTGTGGATCTATATATATATCTTCCCGGATCCGATCCGGGTTCATGAAGGCGAGGGACTGTAGAAGCTTCTTCGCGTGCCGTTTAAGATCCCGAAAATTGTAAGTGGTGGCAAGCGTGTATCAGTATCGATATTCCTGTTCGGCATTGCTAACATTACGTGTCTCCACATATTGAGCGTCAGAGGCAAATAAATTTACATATTCTCGGATTGAAAGGTGTCTCTTGCGAATAAACCCCGCCATTTGTGTCATGGCTAATGGCAGACCACCAAATTGGGTAGCTACCTCGGTTGAGGCCGCCAACTCATCTTCATCCTCAATCTCCGTGGATCCTTTAGCTAGCTTACGGAGAAGAGTGGCCGCCTCAACTGTTGAAAGCGGATCCAAGTCAATGCCAGATCCATCCGAGCGGAAGTGTGTTTTGGCAAAGGGATCCCGACTCGTTATCAACACTGAACCATTTCCATCGTATGGCAGGTAGTCGGCAATGATATCCAGGTTGTCAGCATTATCAAAGATCAATAACCAAATGGAGTTCTCTTCCGCTCCGCCTTCTTGATTTTCATTCCTATTAGTTTTGTTCAACCAGGCCTTGGCTATCTCTTTGCTATTTTCAAGATCTTGGGCTTCATCTGGACCTTCAAGCCCTAGCTGAGTTGGAATTCTACCAAAATCGGATACCAGCTGTGATACGCCCCCTGCCTCGAGCCAAAAGATAGCCCCGAATTTTTCCTTCCTAGAGTAGGCGTATTGAATCGCGATATCAGTCTTTCCAACCCCACCCATGCCACAAATTGCAAAAAGGCGAGTGCTGTGAACATTTCCTGAGTCTGGCATTTCGCGCGGAAGGAGATGCTTGTCCATGAGATCAAGTATGTCTTTTCAACCAACGAAGTCCCGGTTTGGTGGGTACCCGGCTAGTGAAAAGCAGGGAAGGCGGCATTTTCTACCGCTTAGGAGTCGCTCTGAATTTGGCGAGAGGAGGAGTAAGCGACGTGGAATCTGGTGAGTTGATTTGCCGGAACCTTTATACACGTGCGAGCCCTTTTCTGAAGTGAAGGTCAATTTCCTGGTTATCCCAAGTAGTTCAATGTCAGCAAGGTTTAGCGGGTTGAGTGGATTCGACGTCACAGGGGATTGAGAAACCATTTGTTGACCACTCTTTACGCAGCGTACAGCTCATTTTTCATTTGCTTAGCAATCATTGGTTAGTTAGTTAACTAACCGTTAACTAGCGCCTAGAGCTAGAAATATTGCCCAGTGGCTTCTCCCGAATAAGGTACGAAGAAAATCTCTTGCTGAATAATTTTGATCCGTGAGCAAAGACAGCTTACAGAGCTCTTTGTGAGAAAGATGTACCCCAAATAGGCGCTCCATGCTGGACGATATAGTAGCGGTTTGTTCGTCAACAAGTGCCTAGTTACCAAAGGGTAAGAAAATTGATCCGAGTCTCGCCGAAATCGCATTCTGCTTTTTCTTACCTGTTTTGTCCCGAGAAGCCGTTGCATACAAGACAGGTGATGCCCACATTCAAATACGGACAGGAGAGGAATAGAAGAAATTTGCTCGAACCTAACGGCCAAATTTGCTAATTGGAAGATATTCGAGGTTGGGAGTTTCCTTTTATGCGTTGCGATCTTTGCGCACTTGTGCAGGATCCGATTGTGACGCAGTAATGTATCTTCATCCGTGACCCCACCATGAGGCGTTCCCAAGAATAAAATACCTGATAAGCAGCCTACGACTAACTTGAACCTCGGATCTTGTAGGTTTTGATGCACTAAGAATAACGCCTTTTGGTGGTTAATCCACAATGTGAACCACTTGTCAAACAGAGAAACAACATGATATATACCTTCTTGAGGAGCACGCCCCCGAGAGAATGGGCAATGAAGATAATTGGCCGTTGTGGAAACTGTTGATCTGTTAGTATTATAACACTACGTGATGGACGTCTTCTAGGCCAGCGCTAGGGTCTATCGCAATACCTACCTCAGTCGAAAGTTGGGCCAAGTGCTCCGCCAAGTCACTTCCTGCCCTGAGGAAATTCTCCCACGAAAAGTGGTCAGGTGAGGCATATGCTGGTCGATAGATATATATGTGCAAACGCAGAGACGGAATCCACAGCTATCGCCGCCCTATACAGTTCATCATCGACGCCCCACTTGCTGACTGGTGGAGTGTGGTAGCCGGGGATAGAGATCACACTGAACAGATGACATGAGCCTGCACGGAGGGAGAGTAGAATAACCTTTGAACTAACCTCGCCTCAACTCTCATTCTGTCATTGGGATGAACTTGGATGACGTTGCTCAAATTAATCGACGACGATTGAGCGGCATGTCTGCCATCTGGGCCTTCTCGTGGTGCCTGCATGGGAATATTGAAGAAGATGGAAAAGCAGGGAACTCAACTGGAGATACCCCAGCCAAAATACTGATGCATCGAATATTCTTGCAGAATGTTCAGGGGCAGGTGGTAATCAACCAAGCGCGTGCGCTCTTGTGCGTTGCAGTTGGGGTAGTGTAACAAGAGGGATAGGGTAAGGAATATCAAGTTGAATTTTTGCGACCTTTTCCGGATGAGCTTTTTGTTTCTCACTACCTCGGGTGGATTAATGACGCTTTTGTAAGGATCATAGAGGTGACAAATATCATATGCACCATTCAGCTATGGTGGGCAAAGGGGTAAAGAGGCAAAAAGGGAGGGTTGGGGAGGAGGGGGGAACCAGGGGGGCAAGGTGGGGGTGGGGGGACATTGATCTATGACATCCCGCCATCTCCCTTGGTGATGGAGGCTTGCGCCCGGGTACGACTACACTCTGCTAATGAGACGGCGACACCTGTCATGTGGACAGATAGATGCAGCTTATGCATGGTCCTGACAATTCTTGCTGCGGAAGTATCTGAGCCTAATGTGCGGTGGTCGTAAGCAGCAGGGTTTTGCCCTTTTGTGAGAACAGCGCTATGGATAGTGAACTGACCCCTCCTGGTCATTATTTATACGCCTGGTTTAGTTATAAATACCAGGCAACACACCTCTTCCACATGGCGCTGGGCAAGGCATCCCCGCCACTCATTTCAAGCGAAACCTCCCATAGGTTACACATCTGAATTCCACAAGAACAGGTTGCCTGCCCTTTGCCCACTATGCCCAGGGACACAACTCCGAAAACTCAACCCTGGAAGGCCTTGTCGTCTTTGGCTGAAGACAAGAACCCCGACCTCATGAAAAGAAATCTCAATTCTCAGGACAATTGTTGTTCAATGGGAACTTCAGTCAGCAAGCCAAATGGCCGAAAAATCGAATATAAGGGCTGGGCGGAGGACGATTCCGCGAAGCATACGGCCAATTAAGAATAATATGCGGGCGCGGAAGGGGGAACTCCGCAGAGGTGGGATTATTCCTAAATTATACTGCCCCTGAGCTTCGACGTTAGTTGGATAAATTTCTTACCAGTAACAGCAAAGAAAGATCCGAGAGCGAGAGGGACACATATTACAGCAGCGGACTTCATGGCTCAGTTCCAGCGGCACGTAAATGGAGAGGAGAACGAATACGCTCGTTTTGCTAAATTCAAGCTTATATTGGCCTCAACTTTATTCTACAAACCCTATCTGTACTCTACTAGGCTTCTTTTCTTGTGACTTGCTCCTTACCAGCTGAACAATACTTTGGTTGTCAATGCCGCTGAAGCCTGTTTATTGCACTGTTCTGCTGATTCTTTGATCAACTTCAACTTCATATCACAGCGTTTCGCAGTGGGATCACAGGATAGGTTCATGTGATGGAGAGACAGCTGGGGTCTCTTTATAGTATATTATCAGTCTCGCCACCACCACTTCCCTAGATTTAACTCAGAAACAAATCAACTATGGGATCAACTAGAAGCAATACATCCTAAAAAGGAGATCAATAATCAATGGGAGAGGGGATTATTCTTTGTGATATGGTTGTTGAAGATTCAATCTGGTTGGCTTAAAGCTGGTGCTTGCTCGAAAAGAGCAGTATCTTATACTAACCATACCAACAGGATAGTTACAGTAACCACTGACTGACTCTTCCCAACGAACCCTCACAAAAGCCCCACAGAAAAACGCTGGTCTACCCGGCGTAGTGGAGTAGTGGAATTATCATATCTCCACTTATTTAACTAGCCCAGGGCTTGGACTCTGGATAAATCATGTCTGTGTACATGACGAGCAGTCGAACATCTATACTCTCCCTTCTTGACATGGTGTCCTGGTCTTGACCCGGGAGAGGAAATGCGCCGTGCGGGCAAGCTGTATAGGTAGTTAAAGAGTAGTAGCAATAATAGCATGTGGTGTAAAAAGAAAAAGAAAGGGGAAAAAAAAAAGAGAAAAAGAAAAAGAAAAGGAAAAATAAAGGGGGGTCTATCTGCCAAAGCAACTTACGGGAGGAGAGGAGTTCATCCGAATCAATAGCCTTGAAGACAAGCACCTCATCCGCTGTTTGATCTGGCAACCAGTACCACTTCTGATCTGCATCGAAATGTAGCATGCGATTCTCCGCAATGTAATTGGGATAAATCACATCCGTGTCCACAAAGTCGGCCTGATCAACACTGGATGCATCGCACAGGGCAAGAGGCCAGTCCCTGACGGGAACTGCGAGGGCCCTCCAGACACTATATAAAAAGGAGAAATTTGGCCTTAACTCCTCCAAGATAAAGGATTCATTTTGATTCAAAGATGAGATACTCACGTAATGACTTGGAATTTTGACTTTGTGATCTGAGCAGCAGCAGAATCCCCATATAGTTCGTGAATGATTGCCTTGGTGGCCGCGAGCGTTACATCTGAGGCAAATAATGGGGATGAGAAACTGATCCAGAACAGTACAGTGCCCAGGATACTTTTATCTAAGGAAGCGGGAATCTGGAATCAAATACCGACGTGTACCATCAAACTTGGCTGAGGTGTTGGGTGGGGCTTGCCGCCAAAATATGGGAATTGAGGATCTCTTTGCCTCAGCTATGTATTGTACGGAGAATGTCGTGGAATAACGAATCAATCAGCTGTCTATTTGTGACGAGCTTGACGAACTTAACTTTATCCCTGCTCAGGTCTGACTCTCGCCATCGTTTCTCTTTATTTACCCTTGAACTTTGCCCAGCGGTGGTTGAGGGCTGTGTGTGCATCGGCCATGGCTGGCTGGCTGTATCCATGAATGTATGCAGTTCAGTTCGGATTGAAATAGTTACCATGTCCAGTAACTACATGTCTAGGTGCTTTGACCTCTCCTCTCCTTCGACAAAAAAAGGTTGCTGCCGTCTGTTCCAAAGGACTTTATTGACTGGTCCCCGCACACTGTGGACCAGCTGGCTGGCTTTGTTCTCTTCTACGGTGCATACACACACTCACAAAGAGAGTGTGTGACTTGTTTCTGCAACCTGGCAAGTTTCAACCTCCTTGAAAAACTTGCCCGAGGCTAATTGACATACCCAGCAGTTACGGAGTACTCCGTTTGCAATTAATCCGTAGTTTACACCGACTCAGACTCAGACTCAGACTCTTCGCCCGTCGACAAAGCGCGTCCGTCATCTCGGAGGTGTCCAGGCCAACCGCGAAACAGCTTTTAACCACCCAACATTTTTTTTTATCACGGTACAATTGAAAATCGTTCCCCTCGTCGTCTAGGTTTGAGGATGCTCATTATTTTATGGTTCTAGGGCCTTCCTCTACTTCATTTCATTCATGGCACTTGGGTGCGGAAACCGTTTTTTCTCTCTCCGCCCTTTGTTTGGCAGTAAGGGTAAAACGCGTATCCCAGGCTCGACCAGCTCGAGCCGGAACAGAGGCCGCTTCAAACAATATAAAATTTCCCCGGGCAAGCTCGCACAGCCCAGCCTCAGCATCGAGGAAGAAGTTCAGATCACTGTCGGCCAGGTTGAATACCTCTTGATACCACACCCGGAGGTTGTGATTTTTTTATACTGTCACCACTAAACAAACTAAAAAAAAAAAAAAAAAAAAAAAAAAAAAAAAAAAATCGCAGCTAACGCTCCTCTAGAATTTTCTCGACTTCGAGAGTAGTAATAACGATCCTACTTTGGCACTCGTCTACATAACCAAGCCAGGTCAAACCGTTTCGGGATCAGCCCTCCGTCAGTTCCGTACCGATACCCTGGATCGAGACGATGTGTTTCAACCGGAATTCTTTAGCAATGTTATCTTCTACGGTTGTAAGGAAGCGGAGTTCTGTTTAGAGCCTGATGCTCGTGAAGAGCTAGCCACATGGAATACAGACACTTGGTCATGCATTGAAGGAAATCCCACGGCAAAAGCTGCACCAGGACCATACGTTTTCTCAAGGGGGAGGACCTGGCAACCATGGAGAATCTATCGCGATTCCAGTGCAACCTTTATGTGCACTTTCAAACCCTCGCCAGACTTCTCTGGGAGATGAGTATTCCAACCATAATGCCTTGGTGGGTTAAAATAAAAAAACTAACTATATCATACTCTAGTCACTCTCGACCCTCCTCAGGCCGGTACCGATGGGAGAGTCATCGTACCATCCCGTTGCTACTACAAACCGTGCAAGGAGCGTCCCCTTGACGGAGCTAGGATCAGCGTCAAAGACAACATAGACATCGCAGGTCATAAGACTACCCTTTGCAACCGCGCATGGCAAGATCTCTATCCCGCAAAGACCCAGCATGCAAATTGTGTTCAAGTTCTTATAGATGCAGGGGCCGTTATCGTGGGCAAATCAAAGCTACAGGCTATGATTATGCGTGAGGAACCCCTGGAGGCGGTAGAATTCACATCTCCGTTTAACCCTCGTGCCGATGGGTATCAGGTACCGTCTGGGAGCAGCAATGGAAGCGCTGCAGGAATTGGTTCCTACGAATGGCTTGACTTCTCCCTTGGATCTGATAGTATGTCTTTTATTATCCATGTTGGGGCAAGGATAAAAAAGGCCTTGACTGATGCGCTATATTAGCAAACGGAAGCGGTCGTAAACCCGCGCAATACAACGGGTGCTTTTCCATTCGCCCATCAACAGGGATCATGAATACGGATGGTGTTGTCGGTCAATTTCCGTGCGCGCAGGCCCCTCTGAATCTTACTTGGATGGGCAACAATACTGATTTGGGCTTGGCATCATTCAGAAAATTTGACATGCCCGTGTTTTTCGGGAGGGATCTCTCCAGATTCTCCGACTTCATTTCAGTGTGGTACGGAGATTCTCCGGACCTACGCAAACCATCCAGGGTTGATCTCCCATTCCAAAGAAGTTTATTTATATAGGTTATACTTTCTGACTTCTTTTTTTTTAGTTCCCGGTCAGAATTCTCTACCCTCATGATTATCTTCCGACTACAAACGCAGAACAGTCCCTTCTCATCGACCGGTTTATTCAAGGTCTCGAATCCGCTTTGGGCGTGAAGCGAGAGGAGATATCTCTCGCCGAAGAATGGAAACGAGATTGTCCCGATGGAAAGGATAATGACGATATTGCTGAGTATCTCAAACTGGTAAAACCTCATTCCCGTGATAATACTTTTGTTGTATTTACTTGGCTAAGTTCCCCCCGTAGGCTGGGGGTTATCCTTACTATCACGATTCATACCATCACTTAGATGACTTCAGGAAGGATTACAAGGAGAAGTACGGGAAGGCACCCTTCGTACATAGAGCTATGCACTGGCAGTGGTGAGTGGATTGTCTGTTTTCTGTACGATTATCTACTATAGCACAGTGGCCAAAAAAAAAAAAAAAAAAAAAAAAAAAAAAAAAAAAAACCCCGTGCTTATGTGACTGGTTTAGGGATATTTCGAAGAAAATCACACGAGAGGAACGAGATATGTATTGGCGCCGTTCTGAAATCTACCGGCAATGGCTCCTTGACAAGATCTTCAAGGCGGACTCAAAAGACTCCATATCAATCATGGTCTTCCCGATTGAGGAGGGAAGGCCAAACTACCGCGATGTGGAACCAGCGTTTGTTTCCCCCAACCGCCAAATTTCCCCTGGATTCTTTTCCTCATATCAACTTTGGACAAAAACGCTAACGCAGGATACTTAGGCCATTCTCCATCTTAAGTGGTTATGCGTCATTAAATATGTCACCTATGATGCGAGCACCGGAGCTCACAACCATAGGTAATATTCCCTCGTTCAACTCACGTAATGCCATTACTCACACAAGATTTCTTAGTTGGTGAGATACCATTCAATTCCATTGTCACAAAGCAGGAAGAGTTATTGCCGATTGCAGCGTCCGTCATAGGCGCCCCAGGTATGTAATGTAGTTCAGACTACTCTATTTTGACTTCGTTTAGCTTTCTTTTATTTTATTTTTCTCTATTTTCTATCATGACAGCTGGGAAACTAAATTGTGAACCGGGATTATTTTTGCAGGAACGGACCTAATTCTTGTGCACTTAGTAGAAAGAGGTATGACCGCTGGGAAGTTTTCTACTAAACTGAAAACAGGGCAGTCTATCTATTGAACACAGAGACAGCTGAGATGTGACTGAAGATTTTATTTTGCCTTATTTTTTCTCTTTTTAATTTAGTGAAATTTAAGAGAAAAAAACCCTTGAAGAGAGTAAAGATATTTCATTGCCTTATATATAGACTGGCCACCGGGACCATGAATTTCACGTTTGATCCCATTTGGTCTGGTCCCATACATTTCTTGGCGTGAATCCCGCTGGGACTGGCTATCAAAAAAACATGCAAAGTGACTATATATCAGATTTTAAAATGGGACCATGACTTGAAAAAAATGAGAAAGTGGTCCCATTTGGTTCCATTTAGTCCCATTCTTGGCATAAAGTTACTATTTTTAGACATTTTAAGGTTTTTTTTAGACTATTTTTAATTTTTTAAAAAGTAACACTTTTTGATAACACTCAAATGAGATTTAAAGTCATTTAAAGCAATAAAAATAATTTAAATTGAGAAGTGAAAATCATGATCTCATTTGGAAAATGTGACAAGAGTAGACAGTAAGTCCCACTGGGACAGTATGAGACTACTATCTAATGTTAAAACTGTGTAATGGGATCAGTTGAATTGATAATGAGACTATCAAAAAATCTGGTCCTGGTCCCAGACACGGTCACACGGTCAGTCTACTTATATAACAGTACTCTGTAGATTTAGTTAAGATAATTATATATTACAGATAATAACTATGTAGAATACTGAAATAAAAGAGCTTGATTATTACTAGATTTACTAATAGTTAAGTGAATGTAATATAATTAGACTGACCGTGTGACTGTGTCTGAGACTAGGATTAAACTTTATAGTTGTTATATTGTTTAAAAGCATTACTTCTAATCATGATTTGTATTTATTACATTAATCTCAAATTGTGTTATTTTAAATATTAAAGATCTCAGATTTACTTTTCAAATAAAAATCTAGTTTCAGATAAAGAATATATTTGAATTCTTAGTCACATTTTCATTCTGATCTTATTATTGAGAATGATATTAAATAAGATTATAAAATCACTTCTTACTTATATAATATCATAATATAGTACTTATTTATTGAAAATTCAATAGAGAGTATTATTAAATATTATTACTTTTCTAAATATAGATTATCTTAAAATACTTATTTCTCAGAGTTTTTACAATATTTATTATTAACTATGTATCTCTTATAGTGAGAGTAATACAGCTGTAATAAGTTATTATCTTAATATTATCTAATAAATAATCAGTATATATCTGTATAAATGTGAATATTTAGAAAATATACATTTAAAAAGTGTGATCAGAGTGAACTCTGCTATTACTTAAATAATATCAAGAATAGAATACTGAAATCAATGCTTTTTCTCATTGATTTCATAAATAAGATATATGAAGATGATTTTAAGAAATATAAGATTTCTTAACTTCTAGTAAAAACAGATCTTATGAAGAGACTCTATTTTTATAATATCAGAGACTGAGTGTTACTAAAAAGTGTTACTTTTATATAATGTATATATACTTACTGTAAT